TTAATTTTAGAATAAGCTAGGCTAAGACATATGTACTAAACAAGGGCAGAAAGACCGATTGGGTCGATAGCCTTTTTCCGTAGGAAATAAAGATTATTTATATATACAGGGTTGCTCATTAGTGCGTCAAAGTGCGATATCTCAGTAAATATGAACTTTACAAGAAAATACGTATATATATATATATCGCAATGGTGCATCAATATATTTTTGCAAAATCAACTATTCCGAATTACCTGGTGGCGAAGAAGTCTCGTAGGAACTGTCCAAATTTCCGGGTTTAGCAGTTGTTGAATACTTCTTCTTTTTGGTTCCTATTTTTTTCACAAACATCGCAAATTAAAAATATTCCAATTTTTATTTATATCGAGTTATTTAAGTAAGGAAAAATCAATTTTACAAAATTTGAAGGAAAAAATCCCGCATATGSAAGATGCTCAGACATTTTTAAAACTAATCATTTTGCCAGGCACTTTGAGATCCCTACTACTTTGGGCAATCTGCAAAATGCCGTAGGCGCTAGTCAGTATGCTTAGTCTTCACATTGACTAGACAGTGGGACAAATCCTGATCCTGCAAAATTGCTGTTAACTTTCTGCCAAACGGCGATAATGCTAAAATTTGTTGCTCACTTTGTTGTTCATGGATCTATCAAAATTGGAATCTTCTTGATTAGCAGGATTTATATTCCCATAGGACGAGGCCGACTGAGCAAAGGCAATTAATTTAAAGGATTCATTTGTCTCCAGGGACAACTGTAGATGATGCGTTCCACGGGTATGCGTGAGAGGTCACCACACTCTATTGAGACTAGAAGAGACGGACTTAAAGAAGAAGATGTGAAGACTGTTAACTAAAATATTATCTTACAAATATGAAGAAGTAACAAAACCTATATACAGGGTGTTCCGTAAATATGTTAAAATATTTGAATAGCGTGATCTTCTAGTCATTAAAGAGGACTGTCTTCTCGGAATTTTTTAATTTGAGGTTTCGTTGTTAAGATGTTTCATTTCCAAAATGGCCGAAAATATTTGTTTTTGTTCTTTTCGTTTAAAACGGTTAAACATGGAAACTTCAATTTTGGTATACATTATAAGCTAATTGAGTGCCATTTTATGAGAGTGTTTCGTGGTTCCGTTTGCTTTTATACAGGGTAGAAGTGTAGAACCCCAATTTTTTTTTCGTTCAGAACTTTTTTGTATTAACTTAAACTTTTCTCGACATGATTTTGTTAACTCCTACAAGTTATGAGCCAACTTTTTTATCTGTTATTGTTTTTATAGTTTGCCCGCAAAAAAGTAAAATCCTTTCCTTTACCGTTTTCAAAATGTGTAAGTTCATTTTTTACAATCTAATAACGTTTTTATATTATAATTTTGATAGGCATTATTAGTTGATTACTAACAACCTAAATTATTTTTCTAAATTGTGTAATTTGGTTCAGAATACAATTATTAAGTTTGAATAAATTTTACTTAAATAATAACATGGCGTGACAATAGGCGCTAGGATATAAACAAACAAAATGAAATTTAAATAAATATTCTATTTTTAACTTAGCAGCTGTTAAAATTGTTGACCTTGACATTCTTGGCATAATCGCAGGCATTTATTGAAATTAAAATTTACAGACCGTAAAGTTGGACTGAAGTTCTTATTTCGTAAGACATATTATATATTCTCTCCTGAAGTTCTTCGATTGTATTTACTTCTGTAGAGTACACCGTATTTTTGAAATCGCCCAGAAGWAAAAATCAAGCGCGGTTAGATCGGGAGATCTAGGAGGCGAGTTTATAGGAGCTTCTTGACCTCTCTCAATTCAACGGCATGGAAAGTTTTGATCAAGCCGAAACGGTTAATATTTTTACGAGCAAACTAGTGCCCTTGGGGAAAAATAATAAGCGATAAAAAAGTTGATAAATAACTTGTAGTAAATAAAAAAATRTGTTGGTAAAAGTTAAAGTGCACAMGAAAAAGTTCTGAACAAAAAAAAATGTAGGCGTTTCACATTTCTACCCTGTATAAAAGTAAACTCCAAAACTACAAAACACTAGCATAGAATGACACTCAATTAGCTTATCACTTATACCAAAGTTTATCAGGAAGACCCACTCTAAAATGGCTAGAACAAGCTGTCAAAATATTTTAACAGATTTGCGGAACATGCCGTATACAGAGTGATTTAAAATTGGCATCATTGCTTATAAGGGGTAATAGGGGCTCACTTGGAAGGTACGAGAAAAATATTGAAATTTTTTTTTCTAGAATAATATAATAATTTCTAGAAGATATTAACAGTAGAAAATCGAATTTCCACTTTGTTATTAAGCTTTATTTTGAAAGTGTTCCATGTTTAATTGAAGGCATTTTGGAATACTTAAGCATTCGAAAAGAAAAATTACGATCTTTGCTTCAAATTACGAAAATTTTTGATATTAAAAAAGTGCTCTTCTACAATTTTTTGATGAAAAGTCAAAGCGGCAATGATGTTTTTCGTCATCAACAGATAGTAACAGGTGGATAGCTCTTGCCAATAATAACAAGAATTTGTCAAACTGTGACTTACTTGGAATTTTCTTTTAAGATTTTGTGGATATGCGATTAGTTCAGGGGAAATGCTACAGTAACATAGCAGAAGCTGAAAGAACTCACGCCAACAAAGGGCGAGGAGAGTGGTTCCAGAAAGATAGTGGACGACAATTGATGTTGACAGTTTCCCAGGAACGAAATAAATACCGGCTACATTCCTAATACGTATGTAAGGTACACATTAAACCAATGAGTTACTGAACACCGGTATAAATTGAGCAGGAATTATTTAACCGAATACGAGAAGCTGCTCGAGAAGAATGCATAATAAGGTGATTACACAGGCACTTGTTTTATGGCATTAACAAATGCTATGGTGATTACACAGGCATTAATTTGTAAACAAATTAATAATTCGAGTTTATGAGCTTCGAAATAGTTTCCGTCAACTTATTGAGGTTTTTCGTTGCACCGTTTTGGAAACAAATATTTTTTCATTAAATGGAAAAATATTGTTCCTTGGCAAAAGACAAAACGGTTTAATGAAATGTGGTAATTTAACAACAAAATTATACAAAAGCATTAAAACACAAATCATTAGTTCCTTAACCTCGGATGTTATTTAAATGTTTGTGGACACTCACAAAATTATGCTATCCGTTTGTTTTCATTAACAACATTTGCATATTTTAGCCCATAGTATCTTGAACATCTTGTATGTTACTTCATAACTAGTTGTTGATTTTCGTTGATAAGGAAGTTCACATTTCATTAAACTGGTTTCCATTTTATAGTCAATTAAAAACCTGAATACCAAACTGCCATAGAAGCAATATTTTTATGATTATGACGCGAATGGGACTGGAATGTAAAGAAACTAATATTCAATAGGCAATTTTACAAGATTTTACAACACTGAACGGTTAACTTGCCTTGTAAAACTAATATAATGCACACTGTCTACTCAATGTGAGGACTAAATATTTTCAACACTGATTGACTAAGGCGGCATTTGGCAGATTGCCTGAAATATCAATTTGTAGATTACCGAGAGTAACTGGGTCAGTTTGCAGAATGTCTACATATTTTGCAGATTTCGTACATTTGCTGCTAACGTATCCAGCGATTTCGAAGCAAGAACAAGTAGGTTAGGGCAAAAAATAGAAATATCAAAACATTTCGGAGCATTTCCGGAAAAAATATTCGGAAAACGCATTTCACTTAGACTGTTTCAATTATCGCAATGCTGTATCAATATACTTGCAAACGCAGTTACTGCAAATTACCTGTACGCTTGGATGTCTCGTAGGAGCTGCCCAAATGTCCGGGTTTGGTAGTTGTTGTGGCCTTCCTCTTTTTGGCTCCTATTTTAGTCGCAAACAGATCAAAATTATAATATTACAATTTTCGTTCCTATCGAGTTTTTTACGAAAGAGAAAAGTCAATTGTCTGAAATTTGGAGGAGACACTTTTACGACTTCTAATATCCATCAAATACGCAGCGAAAACAGGTTATTTAAAGCAAAAAAAATAGAAAGACCAAACATTTCAGAATCTTTCCGGAAGGTGCATAAGGAAAATGACATATTACTTGGATCTTCCCAATAATCGCAATTCTGCAGCAAAACATACTTCTAGAATCAACTATTCGAAATTACCTGGTAACGTGGATGTCTCGTAGAAACTGGCTAACTGTCCGGACACAGTAGTCGTGGTAGATTTTTTCTTTTTGGCTTCTATTGTTGTCACAAAGAGAGCGAAGGAAATAAATACAATAACAATTTTCATTTCTATCGGAAAGATATCGACGATAACAATCAACTGTGTGAATTTCGGAGAAGATACCTTTATATATCCATCTATTAGTTGGCGAAAACAGGTTGTTCAAGGCGAAAACATTTCCGACTCTTTGCGGAAGGTGCATTAGAAAATGACAGATTACTGAGATTTTGCCAGCAATCGCAACAAAAGAAATATTGAAGGAAATTAAAAAATCAACAACAAGCCAAGGCATGTTTAGTAGGATTTCAGGCCAAATTTGATTTGCGTTGAAAGCGTTTCGTGGAATTATTCCCGTAGTTGCCGAAGTTGATGCCTCGTCGACTTTGAGCGTATTTTCTAGCTCATTTCATTGTTATTCCCTTTGTGTGAAATTCTTTCGCTTTTTGCAGACGCCTTCTTAAGGGATTTTTCCGTTTTCCGACTGCAGTAAAAAGTTTTACCTTAAGGAAACTCGGAAAAGTTGCTTCCATACAAAAAATGAACCTTCTCTTTGTTTATTAGACAAAAGTCGTGACTTGTCAAGGATTTATTCATTCGACAAAACTTTTCATTGTCGCAGGGAATATGAAAGGTGCACTAAGGAATTTCTCTGTTAAAATCTTGAGGGTGGTTTATGGCAAGCACTCAATACGATTTATGACCCTCTATCATGTTTGATCTCATTGAAATGCTATGGTAGTGGTGCTCAATTAAAATTAGAACGAATTTAAAGTTTACAGCGTTGGAATGTAAAAGTTTCTTTTCGTTTGCAACTTTCTTAAACTGCAGTAAAAACTTTCTCCTTTAGGGAGACGTGAAAAATCGACCTATCGTAAAAAACAGAGTGTCTTTTTGTACATTAGAGACGACGGACAATCCTTGAGAGCACCATCGTCTATTTTACTACGTGTCATAAAATTAATGCTATTCGCTTTCGACTCCCCATTACTGAATGTTATCCGAAACTCGAGAAAAAATCTTGAAAAAAATGCATTAACTTTCTGGATCTATCGGATCCATTTTGAACCATAGCGATTGGTAAATGTTTAAGTTGCATGCTTATAAGCAACTTTTAAATTGTCTTACTTATTTTCTAAATAAAAGATGCATTAAAGCATTAAAGCTCCCCATCAAGACATGCCATCTCATTTTAAAGTTTTAATAATCCGTGATCAAAGTGCTTTGTTTTATTGCGTCGTAATAATTATTTTTTACTGCATTTCTGCTGAATATATACTATAAAAATATGCTTCAAGCTCGTGACTTAAATTTAAAGTTTATGGCTTAATAGCCAACTTTAAAGCGAATTTATGCAAAATTCACCCACACACAGTGACCAAAACTGGTCAAACAATTTATAATATGCATGATTGGTAAACAAGTTGCATTTTCGGATCATATGAATAAAACGTTGGAGAACGAATAGAAGCACAAAAAATTAAAGGTGTAGTGTAATAAATGAGCTACGGATCCAAGCAGGGTGCTTCGCCTCCAACAGATTTCTTCGCTTCTTTATTTTTTCGGAGCAGCATACAATTTACTAACAGCTAATGCACATTGGAAAGGAAAATGCAACAAATCCGCATATCAGTAAGTAATTTACAGGGTGTCTCAATTTGAACCCGCGAAACTTTAAGAACTTATTCTACAGCCAAAAGGATTGAAAAACATTGTTGTCTGGTGGCAACAGTGGTTCTTAAAAGGGCACACAATGCCGATTTAACCAAAAAAATTAGCCAACTAAGCCCAGCCAAAATCGTATTCCAAATACAAACAAGCACTTAGAAAAATTTGTTAGAAAACTAGTTTCGGGGAAGATAAAAACAATTATAAATCTTTTAGAAATGTTTTTTTTCTGGAATTGTATTGCAAGTAGTTATTTAATTTATTTTGAATATTGTACTAAATGTATTCAAAAACTTTTCTAAAAGTTAGTTTTTTCATGTTTCAATGCGTTTGGCATTGTTTTTGAAACATTGCTATTTTTCAACTAATATTCTCATTTTAAAGAAAAACTGAAATCCATTTCATTTTGCACGTAAATTCTCACATGTTCATTTCATTAAGTCCATCATCTAGTATAAGTCGGCTTCATATCTAATTTGATGTATATAATAATAAGTACAATATACAATATATACAATAATAAAAGTTATTTTGAGAGTGAGCTTCTGGTAAGGGTTCCCAAGTTCAAATTTAAGACAAAAGCACTAAAATTCAGCTATTAAAATACAGGAAAAATATTCCAAATTGTGACTTAGCCAACCAAAATAAAATAAGAGAACAATTATTCGCTTCATTCCGGGAATTTGCAAAAAGCGGCAAAAAATCTGGCAAGAAAATCATGTTTTTAACTATATCAATCATTCTTCTAGCTATCATGATTTTAACTATACAGAGTATTAGTAAATTTGTTCGACTAATCTCAGAGTGATTTTGCATCAAGAAATAACGACGTTTACTTAAATGTTTGTCCGCAAATCATTCGGTTTCCGAGAAACGGTTAATTGAAAATAATTTAATCGGTTCATATTGTCGATCACTAGGCAAAATATTTTAAAGGAAAATCTTCCTTGATTTTTTAAATTCATATTTATGAAGAAAAATTAAGCGATGAACACCTTTAAAATTTCCCATTGTTGGGTTCCCCACGTCCAATCTAGTTCTCTGACTTAAAACTTTTATTATTCTAGCTTGCAAAGCCCGATGGACGAAAACTAACACTTGCTCAAGGGACCTTGTTCTTTGGCACGCCTACATTTTATTAGATGTTTTCTTACATAAATAATTCACTTCTATTTATAACTAAAAGCCAAGGTGTAACTGAATATCAATGATATTAAACAAATCCATGACAAGTGGATTTGCGACTGCGGCTTCAAACAGTGAGTTTCTGATAAATTTATTTACACTTAACATAATGACTGCCGCTTCCTTTTTATGTAAATTTCATGATTGTGATGTTGATTTGACCGAAATAACCTTTGTTTTGGCTAAGCTGTCTTTGATGAAATTTCTGGTCAATTTTAAACAAAAGGAGATGAAAACCCCGCTCTGATTTTAATGGATCGTTCGATTCCTTGCTCATACTCCTTAACCATGTTGTAGCTGCCAAGTGTGGTGATAAGAAGAAAATTTATACAAGCATATGGGACGTTATCAAATGAAAACTAAAATCCCTTTCGGGTGCGTTGATTGATATATCACTTTTATTTCTTTTGTTTCTTTTTGTTCGGGCACTTTTACCGGCTTAACTCGATCTGATAACTAGGATTCACCTTTTGGGGAACTATCATGTTTATGGCGGCCGGAAATCGGATATTTGTTCCTGTTAACAAATTTGGTACATATTCGAATTTATTCACGTTCGATGGAAGGTTATTTGATCTCATTTGATCAGTTTACGTTCAATTGCAAGAGGATTTTTAACTGATACGCTTTTTAACGAAATCAAATGATTCGCAGAAAGAATGAGGACCTTACCAGATATTCCGGTAAGACACCCGCGATCGGTTAAAACATTTGTCTTCGAGCAAAATGAAGAATCGAAGGAAAAGTAAAAAATGAACCACCTCTTTATATATTAAAGACGAAACGATCTCGTTCCGAAGCGTTGCCATTTATTTTACTTTGTCATCGAATTTATGTCACTCGTTTTAGACCCTTATCAACTGAAGCTGGCGTCAAAAAATTACTTGATTGTGTCTGAAAACACATACAACTGAAGGCGGGCTTATATCTAAAGTTTTCTTTAGTATGAGATCATTTCATTCATTTATTAGTTAATAATGCATCGCAGCTGCAGAATAGATTCCCAGCAAATCAAAGTTCAGTAAAACTCGTTTCAAGTAGATAAAACTCGCTTAGGCAAAGCTAATTCATCATGCATTTTTAAATTCCATTTCAGTTGCTGCGAGCAGTTGGCAGTTTTAGAGTGATCTGTTTTATCCTTTATGAAACGACTTGGGTATTTTAGTTAATAAACTAAAATAGAAACGCCAAATTGTTTTTATAGTGGCTGAGGTAAACCCACATTGAAAAACATGGATGTGCAGAAAATTCCATGTTAAGAAACAGCGATTGTAAAGTAAAGATTTATTTAGGAAAAAGGCAAGTGAAAAGTGAAGCGATTCAAAGTGAAAATCCCGTCGATTGGTAAGTAGTTTTTTCGCAAGTGGAAACGTAACAAATTTTTTCAATGCAGTTATTTCGCTCAAAAGATTTTTTACTAAAGTACTAAAGCGGACATCAAATTGTTAACATAGCAATGTTTAAAATGCATTTAAATCATTATTGATAATTAGCTCGTGTATAAATAAAGTAATGGACAAGAAATGCGTTTCCGAAAGTAATTTCCACTCGAATTTCCCCAACAGCTTTATTGAATACGGGGTTAAAGTTTAGAACTTTTACGATGCAATATGTAACGGAGATTGATTCTAGCAAGTTTCCTTTAGTCAGAAAAACAGTGTTTTAAATTGCAATAAATCTTCCCTAAGGTGAGCAAAACTTTGCGGACGCCAACGTTTCAAGTAAGTTTCAGTTTTTCGGGTTTTTTGAAATATTGCCTCAAAATACATACTTTCCCGTAGATACCTGCTGTACTCAATCACGTTGAGTTTTTACCCATCTCAATATTGCGGAGTTAAAAGGAGTTTCGGATATTTTAAATTGAGAACTTCTTCGAATAAAATTTCGTTTGAAGGGAGTCTGGAAATTTATTAACCAAATGCGTCAAAGTAGATCTTTGAATAAAGTAACCAAAACGGTCCAATTTGTAACCCTGCATGGATTTTTCCGTGCAAACATTTAAATTTGTTCAGGAGTTGCTTGCAACGAGTGGCAAAGTTTTAACGGCAAAAACTAAAAGAACATTCGAATGAAAGTTCCCAAATCGCGTTTTCAGTAGAAATGAACGAATCCGTACGACCTTTGGCCCGATTTAACCAAATAAGTCCCTGGAACCGTATTAGAAGTAACTGAATTTGGATCAAGGGAACGTGTCTGAATAAAACAGGGTGCGCCCTCGTCTTCCTTATTATTTCACTCGGTGACTAAAATTTGATTTACTAGGCAATATA